TGCTTAATCTCAATCTTGACCTTGCCCTTTGACTGCCTTTGCCTTTGTCTTTATCTCTGTCGTCAAAATTGATACGCGATCCTTAATCTCAGCTGTCCAATCCAAATGAACATCTATTACTTTAACCGGGACCCAATTTTAATAGCAGAGATCTAAACTTTTGTCCATAAATATCCCATCAAATTCTTATTATAATCAGTGTTGCCATTTTAGTTTTCCAGCTAGATTTAGCATTCTATATTCGGGTTTAACCAGAACAATTTTGTTTAGCTTCTAGCTTTTTTTTTAAGTGAATAAGCTTTTTTAGCTTTTTACTTTTGATAAAAATATTAGCTATAAATGTAAATAGTGTTAAGATGTTTAATGCGTGGTTTAGTGTTAGGTATGTAATAAAAAATAGAGACAAATGCTGCATGATATTTTACTTCGGCGAGTTCTCATTTAAAAAATATACCTTCCCAATATGTATACAAATATTGAATACCTTTTCAAAAGATACTCAGGGCCGCGAAAAATTATACTTTACGACGATGGCGTACAAAGACATCGCACATCGCATCGTTTGTATTTTCCATCGTCAGAAGACACAAAGAAAGGTTTCTGAAGCCTGGACTTTATCCGTTTTCTGCGTGGGTAGACTCTTTTTTCAACTCTATCACCACTCAGATCCCCTTTAGGGAAGGGCGAACGGGAATCAGTAGTTGCAAGACAACACCGGTGAATTTTTACACGGATGGACGGATGGAAGCTTAACGAAAGTGTCGGTAGGTGGTTCTTTTATGCAGGACGCTGTTCAACAACTTTTGATTTAGACTTTAGGTTTTCACGCGACGGGGCTAAATGTCACACCGATTCGTTGTTTACTTACGTACAAAATAAGTAGTTCCTTAAAAAATTTTAACATTTTATCTTTTGACACTATGATCATGTTTAATAACAACATAAACTTTCGATTTGTTAATTTGGCTCTTTCAGGCATATCTCAAATTGTGATTTAGCTTTTTTAACTTTATTTTTCTGCCAATATAAAAAGTTCTGGCAACACTGATTATAATACCATGGTGTGTTTTGTTTTACAAAAATTGACCTTTGAGCGTATGAGGCGTCCGCTACGTGCGGCGTCCGTTGCGTCTATTAATATTCACTTTGCCAAAACATACGACTAACTATAAAAAATAATCTTATCAAATATTTTTGGCGGCACAACTAACAAAATGTGTACTAATATTAATGCTGCCAAATATTTTTGTATGAAAATGAAACGATTCAAATTTAGCGGCGATTTTATAGTTGCTAAAAATATGTGAATTTAAGTGTGAATTACACAATGCATGACGCGAATTTCTCACAAACTATTTATTAATTTAATATAATAACCAGTCACACACACACACTTGCATTCAAATTGACATTAAACAATTAAGCAAGTTGCTCTCTTCACTCTCTCATGCGTTTGTTTCGTTCACAGTTCGCCGCTATACCCAACTGCCAACAATTCATATAACCCTTCCAATGGCCAGGTAACACCGTACGACCACTGCAACCAGCAGCGACAACAACAACTACCGCAATATTACAAAACCACGATTCCAGTGAATGAACATTGCCAACACCAACAACTGCAACAGCAGCAAATCGCCGCCGCCACGGCCAACAGCTGTCACTTTGGTGGAGGTAATGGTGGTAGTGGCGCTGGTGCTGGTGCTTGTGCTGGTGCCGGCGGCGGTGGAGCTTTCGCGCAATCAGCTGTTGGTGGCGCTCAGCTGACTACTACTACTACTACCAGCAACAACATCAATGCCTCCATTGGTGACGCAATGACCGTCAAGCACTGTGCAATCGGAATCCCCATG